TGGATTCTCGGCGGCTTTGAAGCCGTCCTCATTCCGTCTGATTAGTACTGCTTTCTGTTGACCCCGATTGCTTCAGATAGATCACAAGTCTTCCCTGATGATTCCTGTTGGTTTCTACTGGCTCCCATTGATTATATTAAGTCCGAGTGGTTTGTCTTGGCTTATATTGCTTCATATTGATTCGTATTGGTTCCTTGGCCGCTATCGGTTACAGACGATTCTCGTGAATTCGAGATGGTCCCTGTTGATTCCGATTGATTCCGAGTGATTCTTGTTGCTTCTTCATGACTTACATGGGTTTCTAATGGTTCCTACTGGCCCCTGTTGGTTCCTAGTGATTCCTACTCATTCTAGATGTTTCCTATCGATTCCAGCACCTCATATTCTATTTGTATGTTAAGCAGAAGAGCGAGAGCGAGAGAGAGAGAGAGAGAGCAAACATAACACATATAAAGAGAAAGAGAAAGAGAACGAGAGAGAGCGAGAGACAGGGGTGGAAGAGGGTCCATTTCCTTGGCGCGAAGTTTTTTGTTTAGCAAGTCGCTTGGATAACTGGTTTATCCTTGAACTTGTTGCTTGGTTTTCAAGGCAATCACAGGTTTCCTTATGTTGTGGCCACGAACCCTGCGAGACTCCCAAGAAACATGTGAGACGACACCAAAACACATGTTCTCGGGATCCGAGGTGGGAGGTGGAGGGAGGGCGGGCCGAGGAGGGATTGGTTCTTCAATCACATTCACCGGATATGTTCACGTTGGGCCACGAAATCTGTGAGACAATTCCCCCACCCCCAAGCAGTTATGCGACTACAGAAAAGCAACAATCACAGGTATTCAGGATCCGAGGCGGGGGCGCCGGCAGGAGTTTGGCCCTCCCTCCCCCCGCTCCCCGCCTCGAATCCCAAAGGCAGTCTGAAGATTTGTTGGGGGGGAGGGAGAGCGATTTTTTAGTCTCTCCCGTTTTGTGGCGCAAAACAAAGAAAATCTGTGAACGTCAAATTACCATTGACACCAATCAATTCCAACGGAGAACCAAACATCCTTGTGATTCTGACAAAAAACGGACAAATCTCGCGCGAAGGAAATGGCGCCTTCCTTGTCCACACCTGTCTCTCGCTTTCTCTCTCTCTCTCTCTCGTTCTCTTGCTCTCTCTCTCTCTGTCTCTTATTTTCTTGAAGCAATAAGAGTGAAGAGGAACCGGTAGGATCAGGGACCAGTGGGAATGAAAGGGAATCAACAATAATCAATAGGAATCACCAAAAATCAATGTGAAGCAATCGGAATCAATACGAATCGACAGGAATGACTCGGAATCAATGGGAACCAGTCGGAATCAGTGAGAAATCGCAGGAATCGATTAGAGTCGATAGGAATCGATCGTAATCAATCGGAGTCAATATGAAGCAATCGGAATCAATAGGAATCAAGTCGAATCGTTCGGAATCAACCGGAATCAAACGGAACCAGTAGGAACCATTCAGAATCAATAGTAACCAATATGATGCAATAAGAATCAATGGGGATCAATCGGGATCACGCACTCTGTTTGTAATCAGTTTGAAGCAATCGGATTCGACAGGAATTAATAATAATGTGGAGCTAATACAACCCCCCTAACGTGGACGGCCCACCTAACGTAGCCCAGACCTCGGTGACACCAACCACGGCCTGCGCGGACTGGGCGTGACACTTTCATTCTGGCGACACGCTTGTCTCGGAATGATGCTTTGGCCTGCTCGTGGTTCACATCTCTGATTAAACATGTTGTTGTCGCCTAGGCGCCATCGACATCCTTCATTGAGCGCGTTGTTCTCGCCGCGACGCCTGGTCGTGGGCCGCATCTCTGATTGAAAATGCGGCTGCCGCGTAGGCGCCAGCGGCGTCCTTCATTGAGAATGTCGTTCTCGCCTTGGCGCCAGCCAAATATCTTATTGAAAATGCTGCTGTCGCCTAGGCGCTGGCGACGTCCTTCATTGAGCGTGTCCTTCTCGCCTTGGCGCTGACCAGGTCTTGAATTGAAACTGTGGCTGTCGCCTCGGCGCCGACGACATCCTTCATTCAGCATGTCGTTCTCGCCTTGGCGCAGGCCACATGTTTGATTGAACGTATTGTGTTTGTCTCGGTGCCGACGACATCCTTCATTGAGCATGTCGCCCTCGCTGTGGCGCCTGTCACATGTCTGACGGATAGTTCTGCGACTATAGCCTTGAAGATTTGCTGGCGTTCTCGCCTTTTCGCGCTCCCATCGGCTCAAGATAATCCAAGAGGCGTCCAAGAGGGCCCGACGACGGCCCAAGAAGGTTCCGAAATGGGTCAAGAGGCTTCCACGACGGGACTTAGACGGCCTGAGCTGACCCTTTGGACGGAGCAATACGGCCTCCTGACGACCCGAGGAGATCCCCCAGACGGCCGCGAGGGCCCCAAGAGAGCCCCAAGACGGCCCCGGGAACCAAAGAGGGCCCCAAGGGGGAACCCCAAGACTGGCCCACAGGAGCCCCTG